TAGTGTTGGACCTGTAGATTGTTTTGGGTAGTATGGCCATGTTAATGATATTGATTCTTCCAGGGCATGAGCATGAATGTTTTTCCATTTGTTTGCGTCATGTATGACTTCTTTTAGCAGTGTTTTGTAGTTCTCCTTGTAGAGATCTTTCACTTCCTTGGTTAGATGTATTCCTGGGTATTTTATTTTTTATGGGTGGCTATTGTAAATGGGATTGTGTTCTTGATTTGGCTCTTAGCTTGAATTTTATTGATGTATAGAAATGCAACTGATTTTTTTTTTCTTAAACAGAAAGAAGGTCTTACTATGTTGTCCAGGCTGGTCTCAAACTCCTGACCACAAGTGATCCTTTGGCCTTTGCCTCCCAAAGTGCCGGGCTTACAGATTTGAACCGCTGTGCCTGGCCAACTGTTTTTTGTACATTGATTTTGATTAGAACAGTTTTCAGGGTTTACATCATTGTAACTAATCACAATTAGTTGTAACTAAACACTTACTGTTTTTCCTGGGGGTAATAAGTTTGTTTTTTCATTTGCTTAAGTTTTTAAATGTGCTTATCTTCAAACTCTTTCTTGTTAACTTGCTCCTTACATGATTCAGACTTACCAGGTATTTTATAAGGCTTTCCTTGGAAATAACATTTTTGGAGGGTTCTATCTTGCTCCATTCTGATCGGTTATGGTAATACTATTCCCAGAGTCCAGCTGCCATCCTGGGATCTTCCTGCCATCAACCTAGGGATTCTTTTTACTGGAGTGCAGTGGCGCGATCTTGGCTCACTACAACCTCTGCCTTTTGGCTTCAAGCAGTTCTCCTGCCTCAGCCTCCTGAGTAACTGGGATTACAGGTGTGCACCACCACACCTGGCTAATTTTTGAGTAGAGACAGGGTTTCACCATATTGACTAGGCTAGTCTTTAACTCCTGACCTCAGGAAATCTGCTCGCCTTGGCCTCCCAAAGTGCTGGGATTACAGGCACGAGCCATCACACTCACCCCTCCCCTCCTTTTTTTCTGAGACAGGATCTTACTCTGTCACACAGGCTGGAGTGCTGGAGTGCAGTGGTGTGATTGCAGCTCACTGTAGCCTCAACCTCCTAGGTTCAAGTGATCCTCCCACCTTAGCCTCCTGAGTAGCTGGGATTATAGGTGTGTACCACCATGCCTGGCTAGAAAAAATTTTAATCTCCTATTTGTAGGTTATGACTCTGGCCAGTTCTGAGATGATATCTAGACAGAGATCTCAACATTTAGAAAACAGACATTCTCTTAACTTCCTTGTTTTCAGGTGACCCTTCTATCAACTGTGTTGGTATGGAATAGCCTTGTATTCTGCCAGAGTAGGGATATAGTCTCCCTGGATTGCAGAGTGGAGGGAGGCGATTTCAATGGACTTTTAAAGATTCCTCTTGACTTAGCTTCACCTTTTTCAGAAGGCGCTGGGCGCCAGCACTTTCTGAGACTTTTTGAAGTTCTGTGGGGTGATTGGGCTGCTTGGTTTTCCCCACTGCAGGTCAGAATTTAATTTCAAGGAATCTGCCTATTACTTGCCTTTCTGCTCTCTAGACTTGACGATTTTGTTGCTGCTGTCTCTTTCTCCATTTTCTTTCACCTTGTGAATTATGCCTAGAGAGAAAAATTCCCATTACTATTGTTTACCTGAGTTTGGGAGAGTTTAGAAATTGTCTTTGTTCTTCGTTTGCTGTAACACAATACCTGAGACTGGGTAATTTATAAAGAAAAGTGGTTTGCTTGGCTCATGATTCAAAATTCCACAATTGCACAGTTGCACCTGATGAGGGCTTTGGGCTGCTTCCGCACATGGTGGAAAGGGGAAGGGAAGTGGGCATGTGCAGATTATATGGCAAGAGAAGATTGAAGATAGTGAAACCTAGGAAGCCAGACTGTTTTCAACAACCTGCGCTCTTGAGAATCCATTCCCAGAGAACTCACCCCAGTGGGAAGGCATTAGAAGGCATTCATCTATTTATGAGGGATCTACCCCCATGACCCAGACACCTCCCACCAAGCCCCACTTCCCAACACTGCCACAATGGGGATCAAATTTCAACATGACCTTGGGTGGGGATAAATAAACCATCTCCAAACTATAGCAGAGCTGTATGTGTTCTCTGCATCTTTAACACCTGAAACCGGAACCTATTTCTTTCAGCAACACTATTGTCTCTACTTACCTGTGCTTGAAACTTGGGAGTAATCTTTCTTTTTGTTTCTTTGTTTTTAGAGATGGGGTTTCGCCATGTTGCCCAGGCTAGTCTCGGACTCCTGGGCTCGAGTGATCCCCTCACCTCAGCCTCCCAAGGTGCTTATAGGCGTGAGCCACTGTATCCGGCTGGGAGTAATCAGTCTTTTTACTTAAAATGCATTTATTGAATACTTAACCGTGTGCCAGATACTGTACTAGGCATTTGGATTTTAAACACTAAAAAAGAAAAAAGTATACTTTCTGGCCTGACTTTTCAGAATCAAGTTGAGGAGAACATAAGTAAATAGATGAACCATGAAAATGATAAGTATGAAGATGGTGCTCTGAGAGCAGATAAGGACTCTTCTGGGGAAGGGTTCACACACCTGATCCTACAACCAGATTGAGCTTGTCCTTTTTTTTCATTGTCTTTGTTTTCTAATTTTTTACTTTTTGCTGATCCCATGAAATAGGCTCTAGGCCCTGGAGTGTTCCCCTGTCTTTTTGATGTTGAAATTTTGTCTGTCTTTAAGTTGGTATAAGGTAGGCTAATCTCAGGGAGTAGAGTGAGGTGGCTACCTCCTGTACAAAGTGTTCCCTCAAGCCCTCAGCTTGAATACAGCCTTCTCACTGTGCTGTACCTTTTCCTCTCAAATGACACCTGATATATTTTGTGTTTGAGTCATTTATGTGCTTGTCTTACTTCCCTTACTGGCCTGTAAATTCGTTGAGGGTAGTCTCTGTATCTGATTCATTTGTATAGTCTCCAAGTGACTAGCATAGTGTTTAATAAATGTGTTAAAGATGATAAACCTTTGCTGTGTCACTTCAAGTCAAACTAAGACTTCTTCAAACTCAGCCACTTTTTAAAAAGTCTTCATTTGACAGGGACAGGATTTTGATTTCTCTATTCATGTGTGAGTATCAAAATGTGACTGTGGAGCACAGAGCACTCGCAGCAGGGGACAGACACTACTGCACTCTTGGTGAGAACTGCCCGTGTTTGTGGTGGCTTTCCCACAGTGCTGTTAAGTCAGTATCATAGGTTTGTTTCACACTGATTCAATAACAGGTAGTAAGTAGAGGTCCTGCAAAGTGTTGTTAGATAACAGCATTTCAGGGTCATGGTCTCCTAAAAGCTTTTACCTTTTGAGAGGATGAAAACTGTGAAATTATGTCCTGCCCCAAATGGCTCTATAACTTTTTAAGCGTTTTATAGGGTATCATGTTGATAAGCATGTGCTTTTCAGGCTCACTTGAAAAGCCTGCTTATCAACATGATACCCTATAAAACAGTACCTACTGTCAATGAACTATTTTAAAATGTGAGTTCTATTTAAAAATTGCCATTTAAACCATGCAAAGACATGGAGTGCACAGGGACCCTGGATATAGTGCAGTGACTTGCTCAGAATGAAATGCTGGTATTAGTTTATGTGGTCTCTCAATATGTGGGATTTCATCACCGCTTGGACAGAAGCCGAAGGCAGGGCCAGAAACAGATGAAATTTAGGCAGGTATAATCAATTGGATTGTGCTACTTTTCTTTTTCTTTTTAAAATTCAGGCAGTAGTTGCTTTTTCTTTTCATTTTGTTTTTTAAAATTTTTAAAAATTAAAAAACAAAAACAAAAAACAAAGCAGATGAGGTCTTACCGTATTGCCCAGGCTGGTCTTGAACTCCTGGGCTCAAGTGATCCTCCCACCTTGGCTTTCCAAAATGCTGGGATTATAGGTGTAAGCCACTGTACCCAGTCTGATTTTCATATTAGTAGGGAAACTAGCTTCTCATATATTCTGGATGATGTAACTGAAGCTTTAGGCATTTATGGTTTTTTTTTTTTTTTCTCTTTAGTATCAGGGAAGGCTGTTTTAGTACCTGCTGTCTCTTTTGTATTACCCAGGTTATCTACAGTTGTTGCAAGGAGAAAAGTTTTGGTTTTGGCCATGTTTCTTAGTATATATAATACTTCTTTTTATTCAAGAGAGATTTGAAAATGTACCTGGCCAGGCAAATTAGGTTTTACCTGGGAGTTGTGCTTTGGAAGCTGACTTAAAGCTTGAGAAGCAGCTTTCTCCCTCCACCCTCATCCTTCTCCATGGCCAACCTTTGGTTTGGGCCTGGCAGTCATTATCACTCTGTGAGTCTGAGACGCTGCCCAAAGGAGTGAAGGTGGATCTTCTTAAAGGCTTTTGTCTTTTGTGCTATTCAAGTGGTCCTACTAGTGAGTGAAGTTTACAGTATTTTGTATCTCATTCCTCAGGATCCAGTTAGTTTTATAGCCCTATCTAGCCCTGCCAAGCACATAAGGAGTCTTGCTTGTCCCTGTTTTCAGAGACTTCCTTATGTGTCTGAATGCTCTGCTAGGTTACAACCTGACTTGGACTGGGTCCTGTGTAGTCTTCCTGCGGTAGATGTGGTAGGTTTGTGAAGCACACTTCATTTCTGGCACAGCAGAGGGCAGCAGTGGCAAGCTGTGAGTCTCTTCATCTCACCGCCTTTCTTCCACTTACGTCCTTACTGTCAACATCTAATCTTTAGCCTCCACACCATGCAAGACTCTTAACTTTTTATTTAATTTTATGTTTTGCATTTTGGGCAGTGCTTCTAATTTTTTCTTTTTAAGAACGTGATAACAAAACTGGATATCTTAATTTAAAAGCCTTACAAAAAGTCATGCATAAGTAAAAATAATTCGTCAGGTGAAGTGAGTAAGTTTATGTGGCATTTAATTCAGAATTCTAGAGGTGTGATTTTAGAGTAAAACAGACTTTTTCTATTACTTTAATTTGAAGCTTTGGGATGTGACATCAGCAAACGAGAGGAAAAGTATTAATGTGAAACAGTTCTTCCTAAATTCAGAGGACCCTCAAGAGGATATGGAAGTGATAGTGAAGTGTTGTTCATGGTCTGCTGATGGTGCAAGGATAATGGTGGCAGCGAAAAATAAAATCTTCGTAAGTACTTTTAAAAAGCCAACTTTAATCTGATTTAAAGAAAATTAAAACTTCTGTTTATTTTTGCATTTTACAATGTTTATTGATAAAAATAAAGTCTAGCTGTGTGATTTTGGGCAGTCTTCCTAACCTGTCATGGTTCTTTGGAACTGCACTCCATGAGATTAGGATGGCCGTGTGAGGAAAAGTCTCCATGGTTACACAGTTTGGGAAATATGTTTTATATTGCTTTCCCCTATTAGAGGCACACGATGTGAACTAACATGTTCAGGGCCCCAGGAAGTCCTATCGTACAATTTATGCTGTTGAATCCAGTGTTCCTCAAATGTATTTAAAGTGTATTTAAAACATGGAATGCTTTCAACATCACTCTTTTTTTTCCTTCAATTTTGATTACATTGGTTTAGGAGATTTTTCAAAGTGCTTTCTTACACCTAAAATTTTGTGATTTGGTGACTCTGATAGAAATGCTCATCAACGACTGAACAAGATTGTGAGATTTTTATAAAGTAATTGAGGAAAATATGAAAAAAAGTAAATAAGAAAATACCTCTCTTTTCTTTCCCACATCTAATAGTAGCTTATATTCGTGATGTTCAGAGTGCTCTCAGTATAATTTATTTTGATATAAGTATCCAAGAGGCAGTGGGTTACAGTAGCCCTATGATAATAATGAGGCAAATGAGGTTCAGAGGAGCCAAATAATTCGTTCAGAGTTACATTGTGTTTAGGAGAGCCAGATCTTCCAATTTATGGCTCAGTTACATTCTGGTCTAATAGTAAGTTCAGAAGACTTGAGTAAGGGATATTACCTTTTTAAAGAGCATAATTGAAATATAGAATATGGTTATATAAAAACTCACTGAGGGATCATACATATGATTGTTACTGATCTAGTGCTGCGATCCTTGGATGTTAGTTCCTTCTGGGTTTGTACCCCTTTAGCAAGAAACTAAGAGGAAAAAATATCTCCTTTTATCTTAAGTTTTAAAAATCTGTAAGAACTAAAAAAAAACCACTGCATTTGCCAGAGTTGAAGATTAAAACTTTTTATTGTGGTAAAATGCATATAATGTAAAATTTGCCATTTTAACAATTTTTAAATGTACATTTCAATGACGTTAATTACATTCATAATGCTGGGTAACCATCACCACTATATATTTCCAAAACTTTTTCATTACCCTAAACAGAAACTTTGTAACCATGAAGTAATAACTCCTCTTTCCCCTCTCTTGTTAGACCTTGGTAACCGCTAATGTAATCTGGGAATTTGCCTAATCTATGTATTTCATATAAGTGGAATTATATAATATCAGTCCTTTTGTGTCTGAATCATTTCAATGAGGGAAATGTTTTCAAGGTTCATGTTGTAGCATGTATCAGAACTATATTCCTTCTTATGACTGAGTAATATTCCATTGTATAAGTATATCACATTTTGTTTATCCATTCATTTGTTGATGGACACTTGATTTGTTTCCATCTTTTGGCTATTGTAATAATGCTGTACAAGTATCTGTTTGAGCCTTGTATGTATACCCAAGAGTGGAATTACTGGGTCATATGGTAATTCTTTATTTAGCTTTCTGGGGAACCACTAGATTTTTCCACAGCAGCTGCACCATTTTACATTCCCACTAGCAACGTATGAGGGTTCCAATTTCTCCATATCTTGATAAAATTTGTTATTGTTCATTTTTAAAATTATACCCATCCAAGGAGGTGTGAAGTGGTTTCTCCTTGTGGATTTGATTTGAATTTTCCCAGTTACCAATGATGTTGAGCAAAAGATAGTTTTTTAAAAAGATTTTAAGACGTCTGTTCTAATGAGAGAGCAAAATAATTTTATATTGCATGAAATGCCTTGTTTTAATAATCTGTACAGCAGCTCCCTATTTTACCATGCTAAAAGAAAGCTACCCAAAGGTGATCCTTAACTGCACGTAAATCCTGATTGCTTGCTCTTTGGTCTCTCCTTCCTCCTCCTCTTCTTTCCAATTCCTATGTGAGTCTACTCCTATTATTAGGTCTTTTTTCTTCTACTATTCCATAATTGGGACGACTGCCTATTCCATATTTGCCAAGTTTGCTCAATCACTGTCAGTCACTAATTTTTTAAGAAATGACCTGTCCTGGGAAGCATTTTAAATCTGATTTCCCACCCTGTGTTTTTAGCCTCCAGTGCCATGCTGCCTACCATATATGCATGCTTGCCGGGACTATGCATTCACTAAACATTTTAATAGCTCCCACTGGAAGCTTTTTTGTTTCTTCCTAAGGTCTATGTCTTGATCTTAAATCACTATACTGTATCAATATATGTAGTACATTTAAATCATCTTATTTGGCAAAAACTTTGGAAGAGTATATTCAGCATTTGTAAGTCTTAAAAATTGAAGAAACTGGCCAGGCGCGGTGGCTCACGCCTGTAATCCCAGCACTTTGGGAGGCCGAGGTGGGCGGATCATGAGGTCAGGAGATTGAGACCATCCTGGCCAACATGGTAAAACCCCATCTCTACTAAAATACAAAAAAATTAGCTGGGCATGGTGGCGCGTGCTTGTAGTCCCAGTTACTCAGGAGGCTGAGGCAGGGGAATCACTTGAACCCTGGCAGCAGAGGATGCCATGAGCCAAGATCGTGCCACTGCACTACAACCTGGGTGACAGAGCAAGACTCTGTCTCAAAAAAAAAAAGAAGAAACTTGGATTACTCAAAAGTAGCTTTTTGGGGTTCAAAAACAGGAAAATCATTAGTTATAATGGAGCAATTTGGTAGTTCTAGCAAGAAATAGAAATCAATGAGCTAATTTCATTTGAGCAAACTTCTGTTCTATATTATTTTGATCATCTTCATTTATGAGTATTCATTTTCTCTTTTGAATAAACAAGCATTAGGGAGAACTACTCTGTATATGTTAATTGGGCCAGTCTATTCATTTATTCACAAAGCTTTTATTTCTCTTTAGGCTAGCTTGAGAGCTCATCTGTGACGAATTTTCCTTTACAGAAAATATGTTTTAAGATCAGCAGTATTTTTAAAGTATATGTATATTGATCCATATTTTATTTATGACTGTCAATAATTATGCCAGTTATCAGTAATTGTCATTTTTTTCCCAGGACTTTTATATTTGAAATAGGAGCATATTGATATATCTTATCTCTTAACATATTTTACCTTCATAGATACCTCTATTTATGTTGACAGCTTTTTGACATTCATACCAATGACCTATTGGGAGAAATCCACATGGGCCATCACAGCACCATCCAGTACTGTGACTTCTCCCCACAAAACCATTTGGCAGTGGTGGCTTTGTCCCAGTACTGTGTAGAGGTGAGTAGTTGAATTTATTCTGTGAAGTCTGGGTTTCCAGAGATCAAAGGATGACAGAATGGGCAGCTTAAACCATTAACTGCTGAAGAGCCTTGTTTGAGAAATTATAGAGTGTTTTCTTTATAGCCTAATGACCTCTAACTTTGGGATATTAAACCACATAACCAGCTTTATTAATTTAACAGTGATTAAAGACTTGATTTGACAGTATGACAGGCAATTCAGCAACCATTTTCTGAATGCCTAATGTGTACCAGGAACTGGGAAAACAATGGAATGACTCCTGGTCATGATACATGACATCTCTCATCCAGTCTAGGTATTTCTTAAGCAGTATAGGCACAGATTCTTTTCTTCTTAAAAGAAGTGGTGAGAGATGAGTCCAGTTCAGATTTCTTAGATCATTGAGTAGGATAAGATAGGGTGTTCATTGCCAGGCACTCATGAATAAAATAACTCATATAAATTACTTGTTTATCATTTTGTACTTGTTAAATTTTATGTTCAGAGTGTATACCTAGCTGGCCCTGGAAGAATTCCACCTAGTGAATTGTTGTATTAATTTTTTCATAAAATAGGTTTTTTTTCCTTCAAGGATGGATTAATACTTTTTTATTTTTGCTTTTGAATAGAGATGGGGGTCTCACTGTGTTGCCCAGGCTTGTCTGGAACTCTTGGCCTCAAACAGTACTCCCTCCATGGCCTCCCAAAATGCTGGGATTACAAGTGTATCAATGTGACCAAAGATGGATTCGTTTTTCCAAGTTTTCTTACTTTTCATTCCTTCGGTTGGTTTTTACCACCAGGTAGTTTGAAACCCCTTGAGATCACAGTTCCAAGAAGATGGGTTTGGGCCTTTACCTGGAAAATAGGGAAGTTCACTTGGTTTACAGGCTCTTCATCAAGGGAGCTGTGATGACTATAAGCACTTCTTCAGTGTTCTGTGCTTATTTAGCAAATTTTAGTGAGTTTGCCAGCCTTGCCCATTACTGTGAAGGTATTGGGGGTGAGTTTCTAAGCTATAGCCCTTCAACGTGGAGGAATAGGTGAGAGTGAGGGCATGAGCTCCATAGGCTTCTCCTAATTCTAAGTGCAGCAGTGCATGTGACACTGAAGAACTTCCCTGCTGAGAACCTTCCCATGTACACAGGGGCAGGGAGTATAAAAAAGTTCTAGTCCTGTCTAAAACGGCAGGAAGTAGGGTCCTGTGGGCATTGTTTTCTTGGGCAGAGGCTTTGATTGGAAATGTTTTGTTTTGTTTTTGAGACAGAGTCTTGATCTGTCACTCAGGCTGGAGTGTAGTGGCATGATCTGGCTCACTGCAACCTCCACCTCCTGGGTTCAAGCTATTATCTTGCCTTAGCCTTCCAAGTAGCTGGGATTACAGGTACCTGTCAGCACGCCTGACTAATTTTTTTTTTACTCTTTGAGACAGAGTCTTGCTCTGTTACCAGTCTGGAGTTCAGTGGTGAGATCTTGGCTCACTGCAACCTCCGACTCCCTGGTTCAAGCGATTCTCCTGCCTCAGCCTCCCGAGTACCTGGGATTACAGGTGTCCACCACCATGCCCAGCTATTTTTAGTAGAGACGGGGTTTCACCATGTTGGCCAGGATGATCTTGATCTCCTGACCTTGTGATCCACCCGCCTCAGCCTCCCAAAGTGCTGGGATTACAGGTGTGAGCTACCACCCCTGGCCCCCATGCCTGGCTAATTTTTTTGGTATTTTTAGTAGATGGGGTTTCGCCATGTTGGCCAGGCTGGTCTTGAACTCTTGACCTCAAGTGATCTGCCTGTCTCAGCCTCTCAAAGTGCTGAGATTAATTGGGTTTCAGATCTGCTAGGAGATCTTAAACCTTATGTGTAGATCCTCAAGGTAAATGTGGAGTGTTGGTTAGGATTTTTAGAAACAGTAAAATAGCAACCCCTCTTTCAGCCTTTAATGCCAATTCTAAAGTCCTTACCCTCTACGATCCTGAGCAATCTCTAGGAAACAATGAAACAGTGTCTTCCTTCTTGAAATGAAGGGACTCAGTTCTGGAGGCTCTGAGTGACAAAGAAATGATCGGAGAGAGATGGGGAGAACAAAGTGGGAAGAGAGGGGAGGATTCTCAAAGGAGATTTCCAGTTTCTCAAGAGAGATTTTTGGTTGTGGAACCACTTTCATTTTTGGCCTTTAGCGCTGTATGTCCCAGCGTGGACTCTAGAGATAAGGCAGATAAAATTTCATATAATTAGTTCATAACCATAGAACTCACTGAATGAAAATCAGTCACTGGGCCTATGATGAGGTACTTGTTTTGTCCATGCTAGTTCTGAAATGATAAAGTAGGTCTGTAATTTAAAGTGTAATGAGAGGAACTCAGTCACATATGGTACTTCATTAGACTTGAATATATTAGAGTAATTTATAGCAGAACCCAGGACAAAATACCAGGCTGCTGGTAGACATGGTAATAAGCATGAATAACAAGATAAATGTGTACATGTTACAATTATTGTGTTCATTTATTGTAGGTTTTACAGTCAGTTGAAATGAAGGTTGGTTGACAGTGTTAGTGGAAAATAATTGAATATGGAAGCTGCATATGATCATCCTATTATTTTTTGGATTGATTTTTTAAAGTGATAAAATATTTTCATGATTCCAAAGTCAAAGTTTTATAATGAGTTATATTCAGAGAAGTCATGCTTTCATCCCTATCCCTTCACCTTTCTTTCCCTCCTTCTTTGACCCAATATGTAACTATTTTGTTTTTGGCTTCACTGTCCAATATTTCTTGCATGTATAAGCAGGTATCTATATGCATATATATCAGTATCTGTATCCTTCTATATGTTCTGGTACACATTTTTCTATCTCATATGAAAGATAGTACTGTATAATATATACTCTTTGCACTTTGTTTTTTTTTTTCTGTTAACAATGTATCCTGGAGATTTGTCATCATCAAGGTGTTTTTCTCATTCTTTTTAATGGCTACATGGTATTCCATTATGTGATTAATGTAGTTTATTCAGTTGTTTCCCTGTTGATGGATATTTAGGTTCCTAGTATTTTGCTATAAAAATTAATGATGTACTAAATAATTGTCTGCTTAAGACATTTTGTAGTTTTTTTTTTTCTTTTTTGAGACGGAGTTTTACTCTGTCACCAGGCTGGAGTGCAATGGTGCAGCCTTGGCTCACTGCAACCTCTGCCTCCTGGGTTTAAGCGATTCCCCTGCCTCAGCCTCCTGTACATTTTGTAGTTTTGATAGTGTGTTTTTGAGCAGTATTCATTGACATGGTATTACTGGCTCATTCTTGCTGTTTTCAATATTTTTGCTATCTTAAACATGCTTATGTAGGTGATTTCCTGTATGCTGTGTTTATTCTGTAGTTGTGGAATATAGACTCATGTTCAAAGGTGGCTGACTGCAGAGGACATTTAAGTTGGGTTCATGGTGTGATGTTTTCTCCTGATGGATCATCATTTTTGACATCTTCTGATGACCAGACAATCAGGGTGAGAAATATTGAGATTTTCATTTTGAACATTTACTGATGGTGAGCTAAACCTCCTACAAACTAAGAAATTGATGGGCAGCATTGAGGTAAGCAAAATAGGAAACTACTATATTCATAGTCACCCTGGAAAAGTGCTATTATATGGACTGTAACAGTCTCCTTCATTCACTACATGTTCATTGAGGATTACCATGGGCCAGGTACTGTGGGAAGTTCAATGATTAAACTGTATTTTGGTTAACTTAAAATACTGCATTTGATTATTCAGAATAATTTTTGACTCTTTCCTTTACCTTGAATTCCTACATCCAATTACTTGCCAATTCTAAGAGAGTCTACCTTTCTACTTTCTATCATTATCTCTGCCTTTCCATTTCTGCATCCCAAGTTCAGGTCTTTGTTACCTGTTACTTCTCTTGTTGTATTAGTCTCTTCCACAAGTCTTCTTTCTTGCTTTTTGCAGCTTCTAAGATACTTTTTTTCGTGTACAATGTAGTCATGTCATTTTTGCTCAAAATAGATAGTGGCTCCCTTGTCTATCAAAGTAAATGTATACTTCTGTGTCTGCCATTAAGCTTTTCCACAGCATGGCCTAATTCTGCTCCAGTCTGTCTTCCAATTTATTCCTACAGGGAACCAACACTGGACTGCTCACATTTTCCCAAACACCCTCTAGTTCCCTGCTTCTGTGCTTCTCCTTAAGTGGTTTCTTTTATTTGGAATGCCCTAATTACCTTTATTTTTGTTTGTTGAAATCCTAACCATCCTATAAGTTCCCTCAAGCCTTCTGGATTTGGGGAGAATGTCTCTCTTAGTGCCATCTAATTCTGTGTCATTTTCTAGTGGTGCTTATCAAATTTTGACTTGAATTTAAATACATATATGATTTACTCCTTATTTCCAATATTCTACTGCTCCTCTGATTACTGACACATCTTATATTATAACCTCTTTAAGGCCAGGAACCCTGGCTGGTCCCCATAGCATGCGATTATAGCATTATATATAAATTATGGCCAAAATTCATTTAGTACTTACTATATTCAAGACGTTATGCAAAGTACTGTATGTGTGTGTATATATATATATGTGTGTGTGTGTGTGTATATATATGTATATGTATGTGTATATATATGTGTGTGTGTGCATATATATATATATACATATATATAAATTTACTAATTCTAACAATAGTCCCTTTTGCGATGAGGAAACAGGCACAGAAAGGCTGAGAAAGGTCAGTGGTACTTAACATGCCAGTCTTAATGAGCTCGAGCCAGAATATAAATAAACACACTGCTTTCTCCATCAGGAAAGTCTTGTTGAAATGAAATAAGCTGCATCACTAAGCACAGTTACAATGGGTTTAGTGATGTAGATGATTTACATTCTGGTACAAACTTTTTTGAGATGGAGTCTTGCCCTGTTGCCCAGGCTGGAGTGCAGTAGCGCGATCTCAGCTCACTGCAACCTCTGTCTCCAGGGTTCAAGCAATCCTCCTGTCTCAGCCTCCTGAGTACTTGGGTACAGGCGCACACTACCATGGCTGGCTAATTTTTGTATTTTTGGTAGAGATGGAGTTTTGCCATGTTGGTCAGGCTGGTCTTGAACTCCTGACTTCAATGATCCACCCACCTTGGCCTCCCAAAGTGCTGGGATTACAGCTGTGAGCCACTGGACCTGGCCCAAATTTCTTATCTTCTGGATTGGTATCAAACAGTTTGAGAACCAGCAGGAGATCCTTATCTTTGAGTAACACTGGGTTAAGCAACCTGCCTGAAGTTACAACTTTAGGTAGAACTAGAGTTCGTACTGAGGAATTTTGGCTCTGGAGCCCATAACTCTTAATACTAACTGCATCTTACCATAGATTGTGTTAATAAATATTTATTGTTGGATTATAATCTAATATTGAAACATTTCTAGCATCATAAGTGTTTTATGTGAAACATAGTTTGTCTCTTGCTTTAAGATGAAGACTTACATTATTTCAAAGATGGAATGATAATTTATATATCTCTTAATTAGCTCTGGGAGACAAAGAAAGTATGTAAGAACTCTGCTATAATGTTAAAGCAAGAAGTAGATGTTGTGTTTCAAGAAAATGAAGTGATGGTCCTTGCAGTTGACCATATAAAACGTCTGCAAGTGAGTATATTTTAGAAAATAATTGGAAAAATTGTTTTGGTTGAGCTTTCTATTCATAGTTTTTCTTGTTTTTGGATTTGGGATCAAATATAATTAACAGGTGCCCAGTAGGCATTGAATAAATATATATAGGTCTTGAACTGAGGCTCAGATATGCTTATATTTAGAATTAATTTAGATAATACCTCACGTCACTGCTCTTCTGTTGATATCTATGATCACATTCTTTGATTTGCATGGAGTCTAAGAATACCATGAGGATAAACTCATGTTGTCTACAAGAGTGATTCAGACATGTCTGATGGAGTGTGCAAGGGGGATGAGCATATGGAAGCATTTTTAAAAGGGAAGGATTCCAAGGTCTTTGAAAGAACAGAAGTCACTTTAGGTGAGGAAGGAATCTGATTCATTGGAACTGAGGTGAAAAGAGCTGGACTTTACATACTGAAGTATACCTGCTGATTCATTTACACGCACATTTGTTCAGTAAATATTTATTGAATGCTTATTTTGGTCTTTGAGGAGGAAAGGGTTGTGTAGTAAAATTGAAAGAACTATATTGCTTAGGGATTCAAACAGCACTACTCTAGCCTGTTCTCCCTCTCCTTCCCAACAAAGAGTGGGATACATGAGAGGAAGACATTTGTCAACTAGCTGAAGAGAAAAGGAGTACCAAAAAACCATTGGCAGAGGAATGGTATTCAGGAGCTCAGAGTGGTGGCAAACAGATGCCCTAAGAGCAGATGCCTTTAGGAGCACTGGAGTTCAAGAGCAGGTTGGCACCACTGTGCTGGTGGACTAAATAAAGTATCATTGCATTGATAGAGATGTCCTGGAAGTAGTGATAGCATTGTAGATAGTGGCAGCAAGAGAAAGCAGATGCCTCATGGAAGATCCAATACAAGAGGCTGCCTATATGTTGGTCAGCCCAAGTAGAACAGCAGAGTGTGGGCCATTGAAGGAGGTGTCAGCATGTGGAGCTGACAGCATATGACTGTGACTTATGGCTGAGAGAGGTGGTAAGAGCAAGCAGCCAGATAATAAGGGCCGGAAGTGGTATGGCTTTTGTGTGAACTAGTGAGACATTCTCCCTTGACCTGAGGATTCCCTGAGACATAGGATTGAGAAGGCTAGAAACCCTTTCATATGAGGGCCAGTGATCCTTAGAGACATAGGATTGAGAAGGACAAAAACCCTTTCATAGTGAGGGCTAATGATCCTATAAACTATATTCTTTCTTTTTGTTTTTCTTCTGAGAAAGTCTCTCTCTGTTGCCCAGCCTGGAGTGCAGTGGCATGATCTTGGCTCACTGCAGCCTCTGCCTCCTGGGTTCAAGAGATTCTCATGCCTCAGCCTCCCAAGTAGCTGGGACTACAGGCGTGTGCTACCATGCCCGCTAATTTTTTTAATTTTTGTAGAGACAGGATTTTGCCATGTTGGCCTGGCTGGTCTTGAACTCCTGACCTCAGGTGATCCGCCCAGCTTGGCCTCTCAAAGAGCTGAGATTACAGGTGTGAGCCACCACGCCCAACCCAATTTTTTTTTTTTTTTTTTGTATTTTTAGTAGAGACGGAACTATTTTCTCATAATATGTTTAGGACCTTTCATTAGCTCTTTAAGAGCACGAATGCAGCTTGAATTAACTTTTTCCATATGGGTTTTATAAGTGCTTTATTAACTTCTAGGTAAAGGTTTTGGCAGTGATACCATAATCTTATTCCATCTTTTCATTTGATTTTTCTTGATTTGCTTATTGAAAAATAGGGAGCATAAATGTGTGTTAGAGAATGAAACGAGGTAGTGATGTTGAGCTAGAGAGGAGAGAGAGGAACAGAATAGAGAAGACGAGAGCAGTAAAGCACGTATGTGGAAGGTATGAGAGGAAGCAAACAATTGAGACAGATGGACAGAGGGTAGGACAGAGCTTAATAAGTTGTCATTTAAAAAAAAAATTTTTTTTTTTTAATAGTGATGGGAGCATCTCGCTATGTTGACCAGGCTGCTCTCAAACTCCTGGCCTCAAGTACTCCTCCTGCCTCAGCCTTCTAGAATGAGAATGCTGGGTTTATAGGCGAGAGCTGCCATGCCCATCTCAAATCTTAATAAGTTGTAAAGCTGTAGAGCTCAGCTTGGTGTAATGGAGAGAATAGTGACTTTTCACTAAGGTGACACAGGTGCAAGTTCAGACTTCTTTATCAACTAGTTCTGTGATGTCAAATAAATTGTATCAACTCTTTGAGCCTCAGTTTGTAATGTCCTTTTTATCTTCACAGTCTCTGAGCTAGTTACAGGGTCAAAGTAGAATCCAAATTCAGGAGTAGATATCTGAAAGTAAATTACCTGGTATGTGATAACTTCTTGTTTACTGTGGGTGTCAAAATCAAGCTGTAAAACACCTCTGAATATGGCTTGCTTTGTATTTACAAGTTTTACTGTTGTTCTCAATATGTTGATTAGGAGCTCGTAATGCACAGTACTTCTGTGGTGAATTGGGATGTGGAATTCAATGTGAATTTCTCATTAACTGTTTTTTATAAAGCTGCTTCCACTTGGGATATTTCCACTCCAGTTTTCTTGTCAAATTTAGTGTCCTCATGTGTGTATTTCCTTTATTAAATTTGTGCAACCTTTCTTTAATGACTGTTGTAACTGTGAGACTTAAAAAAGCCATCTATCTGAAAAGGTATCATTCTGTCAGTGGTTGTAGGAGAGTTTAGAGGATAAACTTAATAGTTTCATTTAAGTAAATAAAACTTTTTTAGTTACTACTTAAAAAGAGCTGTTGAAATTAATTTTTGAGAGAAGGAAGATGTTCAGCTTTTCGTAGTTCAGTTTTCATTTTGAATAACTAATAGATTAAAATGTGCTAGGCAGAATACTGTTAAGGAAAAGCCACCTGTTATTGATTGACCCTGTAATCTTTGTACCAGAAACAAATTACTGCTTATTTCATGTTGAAAAATAATTCAAGAGTTTTAGGTTATGACACTAAGTTAGAGAGAGGTATCTGACAATTGATTTATGCTTTAGATATATTTTCCCAGGTCACATGTTTTAGATGAATGATAAGGCATCACAATTCATGGGATTTAAGCATTGGTACAGATTATGAAATTAGGTAATCTTTGTTTAAGCATTGTAATTCCAGCCACGCAAATTATGCTCAAGTTCCTCTCCAGTGTCCTCACTCCCCCCACTCCAAGGAATCTTAGTTTACACTGTTTTGTGAGTGATTTGGAGGATATCAGTCCCATTTTACTTTGGATTTGTTTTTTTATATTTGTCTCAGTCTTGTTTGACCAACAGTCTTGAAATATATCAGAAAAGTATATTTTAACAAATGATAGCTCTATTAAAAGTGGGCTTTGTGAAGAAATGGAAAACGGTGTGGAGCTAGCTGTGGGATTACAAATCAGACAGACGTGTCTCAGGTGGTGGGTGCAGCAGCTGCTTTTAAAACCTTTTAATGCTCGTTTTATTTTATGACAATGTATTTGAACCACCAAAGTGGAATGAAATGAAAGTGTGAAGTGCTAAATGCAGCTGCTGAGACTAAGATATGGCTTTGTTGTTCCCTTGAGAGCTCTTGTTGGTTATCTTCTGTGTTTTATTTTTTTCAATTGAAGCCTTTGTTCTAAAGAACAAAAACTGCTCTTACAGCCTAATAACTGATTTTGTCTCATTTTTCATTAGCTCATTAATGGAAAAACAGGTCAGATTGATTACCTGACTGAAGCTCAAGTTAGCTGCTGTTGCTTAAGTCCACATCTTCAGTACATTGCATTTGGAGACGAAAATGGAGCCATTGAGGTATTCAGTGCTATTCTTCAGAATCTTTCTGCACAGTAGAATTAGTTAATTAAAATTAATTATATGTCTGGCATTGTGCACTTTTATTTTTATTTTTTATTTAAGAATTTTTTTTTTGAAATGGGGTCTTGCTCTGTCACCCAGGCTGAGTGCAGTGACACAATCACAGATCACAACAGCCTTGACTTTCAGAGCTTAAGTGATTCTCCCACTTAAGCCTCCTGAGTAGCTAGGACTATAGGTGTACACCACCACACCCAACTAATTTCTTATTTTTTTGTAGATATGGGGTCCCCTATGTTGCCCAGGCTGGTCTCAAACTCCTGGGTTTAAGTGATTGTCCTGCCTCAGCCTCCCAGAGTGTTAGGATTGTATCCTTTTTTTTTTTTTTATTATTTGCTAGGCACTATTCTTGTTTTTGTTTGTTGTTTTGTTGTGGCTGTTTTTTTTTTTTTTTTTTTTAAGACAGGATCTTACATTGTTGCCCAGGCTAGAGTGTAGTGGCATAATCTTGGCTCACTGCAACCTTTGCCCCCCAGGCTCAAGCAATCCTCCCCACACAGCCTCCTGAGTAACTGGGACTTCAGGTATGCACCACCACACCCAGCTAATTTTTCCTTTTTTGTTGAGATGGAGGTTTCATTATGTTGCCCAGGCTGGCCTTAAACTCTCGGGCTCAAGTGATCTGCCCATTTTGGCCAGCCACCCAGAATGCAGAGATTACAGGTGTGAGCAACCATGCCCCACCTATTGTACACTTTTATACTAAACAGATCTTTCTGTTATCTATTAGTCATTGTTCTGTTAGACTAAAAATCATCTTACCCAGTTGGCTGTATATTTTTCAGATTTCCTTTATTACTGTTTCTCATACTTTTTGTGTTCTTCTGTCCCTTATTCTACCTAGTTGTTTTGCTGTTCTCCACATATATCAAACACTGTCTATCAAGATTCAGTGACTATGCAAAGAGCATTTTTTTTCCTCCTTTTCTTAGAAGCCCAGCCATTTAGGGTATAAGTTGGTTCCATTTTGGTACTGGTAAGACTCATTAGGAATATGGGTACAGGGCTGCCTGTGCTTGCCTACTCCACCAATCCTTGCTGTTCTACTTTTGGTGGCATAAGTACCTCAGTTCACCACCTGAAATCCTTAATTTATCTAACAAGACCAAATAAGTAAAAATGGAGACACTTTGTAAGGCAAAAATTATAGTTTAATAAAAGTTATTTTAGATAAAAATATTGGCTTTATCACAAGTGAAATTCATCACAAAAGCACATTTTTCTCTAGCTTTATAATGATTTTTCAAAAACATTGATTCCTTCTCTCACATTTTCTCACCAGGTATCTGGGAATTATTTTTTAACCAATTAATAATGGCACTGGCCACAGTTATTTTACTTTGGATTCATTTTCATAAGGAATTACACAAATATTCTCCAGTCCATATTGCCCCACAGAGAGGAGACTATATGCATAGACATAAAGTGAAGAAGGAAGCATTTAGTGATCTCAATGCTCTTATATATTTGCCATGGCCCATGTGTCATGGATTGAGAGTTTAGGCTTTGTTTTCTCTTCTTTATTGTGAAAAATTTATTTACTGTTTGTTAAGATATGTACTATTCTGAGAAAGTACATCACAGATATGTATTTCTTAAGCAAGGGATAATTATACGTTTACAAATGAACCTTAGACTTCCCTCTCAGGCTCATCTCTCAAACTGTTGTGTATTATTATTTATTCTTAAAGAATCTTGGTTTCCCTTTCCTCTTTACCTTGATGGCAAGTCAGCACCACATTCTTTTCATTTTTACCATCTAAATATCTTAAAATAAGTCTGTTAGATAGTTTAAAAATAAACTCACAACATACATATGTGCTTCATCCACATTGTTAGTTCCCTCAGAGTCATCAAATAAGATAAATAATACATAATGAACCATATGAAATTACCAATATTTACCTATAAAATGGCATTTCATATGGTGCGGCCTCATATCATCAAATAATAGCAACTACCATTTATTAACTATTTACTGTGCTAGATGCTGTCATTGAATTCTTATAACATCTTGGATGTTAGGTATTGTTATTTTTATTTTAAAGATGTCTAAACTCTTATTTCCATGATTTTCATAAAATCAGTAAGCGGCAGAGCTAGGATTCAAATCCAGATCTCTGAGGCTATGTGCTCAACGATTATGCTATCCTGCCCTGGCCTCATAGGGTTTGTGAGGTTGTCCATTCTGCCCATTTATGAAGGTTCCCATTAACATGATTCCCCTTTGTTTTCAAGGGGCTTTTCTTCTAGACCTGTGGGTTAGGTCTGAGTTTCTGGAATCTCCTGTTTTAGCATCATCTGTATTTTCCTTAGGCTTTCTTGAGTACATTTTTGTTTGGTCAATGAAAAGTATTTCTTCTCGTTTTGTTTTTTGGTACGAGTTCATTTGAAATCCTTTTTTGACATAGTCATTTTCTTTTGAGTTCGTTACTAGTTTTATTTGGAATATTATTACTCTTTGGCCCTCTTAAGCATCCTCATTTCACTACCCATCATATATGGTGAGGATATGATATGGCGAGCCTTCTCATATCCTCTTTTCCTTTACCTGTCTCCCTCATCATCTTTTATCTTTCTTTGTTTATATTGTTTTATAAAGAATTTGGCTTCTCATCCAGGACTTACTTTCTTTCGTCTCTCTTATCCGTCTTAAATGTCTTTTTTTTTTTTTTGGAGGGAGAGCCCAGATAGCCACTTGTTTGATGAAGTGGTTAATTGAGTACTTAGAAGGACCACTAGTTCCTACTGCTGCCTGATGATTGCAGTAAGTGTTTGATTTTAGGATGTAGTGTGTTTGCATGTATGCATACATGTGTGCATAATATGTGACATTCACTTGTTTTTAGTTAGGCTGAAAGTACCAGATGGAAATTGTGTAACCTCTAGTCTCATTTTAGTTTAATATCTTTGGGGCATAATGCCTATGTGTTGCTTAGTTTCTTCATATTAATTTTTCGTGTTTTTCTGCTTTGAAGATTTTAGAACCTGTAAACAATAGAATCTTCCAGTCCAGGATTCGGCACAAGAAAACTGTACGGCACATCCAGTTCACAGCTGATGAGAAAACTCTTATTTCAAGTTCTGATGATTCTGCAATTCAGGTGAGAGGGAGGATGAACTCTTAACATATTTAATGATGATTCCAGCAAAGGAACACTATGATTATGCCTAAAATCTGGTGTGTATTTTAAACACATTACTTTGGGCATACATTCAGATTATGCACATGGGCGTAGATGAAACCCATTGGTGTTTTCATATTTTTCTGTGGGTGAGGCAGACAGTTTGTCTTAGAACCCTCTGTGGGAAGGTTATTTTGAAAATGAAGGGTTCATTTGCATTTTCTTTCTTTCTTTCTTTCTTTTTTTTTTTTTTTTTTTTTTTTTTTTTTTTTTTTTTTTTTTTTTTTTTTTTTTTTTTTGAGATGGAGTCTCACACTGTCTCCCAGGCTGGAGTGCAGTGGCATGATCTCAGCTCACTGCAATCTCTGCCTTCTGGGTTGATGTGATTCTCCTGCCTCAGCCTCCTGAGTAGCTGGGACTATAGGCTCATGCCACCAAGCCCAGCTAAGTTTTCGTATTTTTTAGTAGAAATGGGGTTTCACCATGTTAGCCAGGATGATCTTGATTTCTTGACGTTGTGATCCTCCCACCTCGGCCTCCCAAAGTGCTGGGATTACAGGCGTGAGCCACTATGCCCAGCCTCGTTTGCATTTTCTTGCCGGCCTTGGTATTTGGATTTGTATCAGTAAGTATACTTTGTTTCACATTTCTCTTTATTTTTCTTTACAGTAGTAAAATCCAAAGGAAATCATTTCATTCTTTCCTTTTAAGAATAAAATGTTTATTATAGGAATGAAATTCTGTGGAAAGAAAATAGCTTGACATAATAAAGAATTGTGGGTATGGAGGCCTAAACTTACTATATATTCTTTTAAAATTTACTTGATTGTTATTAAAGTCCCAATGCACAGTCTTTTTTTTTTT